GGGGGGGGAAAGAGTTTAGGGGAGGGGAGGGGAGGCTATCTCATCCGAAGGCCAACACATATTAAGGCCTCTTTGAGCATTTATAGACGTGGTCTTAGCCCCTTTTTTCAATTTTATAGATTACTCACAGAGAAGGATAGTCATCAACGAAACTCGAACCTGGACCTTGCTAGCGAATAGAACGCTCCTTGCCAACTCAACCAGCCCTCATTGGCCTTGTCGTGCTTTTTCATTAGTAGTAAAAGTCAAGTACTACTTGCCCTTATTTATTTATAACTTATAAGCCAATACATACTAAGTGGTGAATGAAATTAATGCAAAGTGAAAGACAGTTTCCTATGTTGACTCCCTTCTTTCTTCTATATATGCAGCTTTATAGAACAAAGCTTCTCCCACAACTCACCAACTCAAACGCAAACCAAAGCTCAGGTTATCATTGTCCTTCTCTTCATGGCATTACCTTCCCCACAATCGACTTCTCAAGTTGCTGAAACTGAAAAAGATTTTGATTTGTTGAAGTGTTCGAAGATCGAAAACGGGAAGAAAGAAGCAGAGATCCATTTAGTAGGGTATCGGTTTGATCCGTCCGAAGATCAGATTGTTGTATTCTATCTGTTCAACAAGATTTTGGGCCGGGAACTTCCTATCAACGACATTATAAAAGAGATTTCTGTTTATGAACATGATCCGGATGAGCTCCCCAATGGTAGGTTTCAAATATCTAAAGGCTTCAAATTTTTCCGAGTTTAGATTATGTCATTAGTTTTTGTTTTTTGTTCTTAAAACTACAAACATGTTCCGTTATTGTTCAGATCTAATCGATTATTATTGTTATGCCGTTCACAGGTGATTTCAAACATGGTGTTGACTGCAATGAGGCCTTTTACTTCGCATATACAGAACAGGTTTACAGCAGTAGAGGGAAGATAACTAGAAGGACGACAAAGAGTGGTTACTGGGACTTAGATGGTGAGGAAGAAGAGGTTAAATACGGCAATGGCGACATAACTGTCGGGTTCGAAAAAGTTATGGTCTTCCACAAGGGAACTGCACCAAACGGAATCGAAACAGACTTTATCATGCATGAGTACAGGGTTAATCCTCTTATAGTCCCTACTCATGTCCTCAATGATAGCATAAGGGCAAAGGTATAGAGACTATAAACTATGCAGAAAAGTTCTTTTAATGCTTTGGTTTTAGATTGTGAATTTTTAAGTCGTTTGGTTTGTGACATTTTATTTTCTCTGTTTCAGATTGAGAGGTATGTGGTGTGCAGAATTATACACGAAGGAGTTTCAAATTTTCCACCTACAAACTTCCACCAGGATGGACTGCTAGGCCTGTTGAAGAAGCAGAACCAAATTGATATGACAGAAATAGCCTAGTGCTTCATATAGGGACACCAGTTTTGCCGTGGTCTTTGACATTGGAAGTTGCAGTTCACAGTTCTTTTTTTCTTTTCTTTTTCTTGGAGAGATCTCTTCCAGTTCTTTTGTTTGGCCGACTATACTTGCACCATAATTTTCGTTTTTGTTAAAATGAATGAATTTTTATTGGTTCTAATTTCTTCGAACTTTCCCAAGCGGGACTCAGAGGAGCCAAATTTCATGCAAGAGTAGTTTGTTATCTAGAGAGAGTTCAGAATTGTAAATTCAGAGTATTCAACAAAGACATCATTGATCCATACAAGTGCAAAAATCAACAAACTATTGTAACCGAAAACGAAAACGGTTTCGTCACATTACACGAGCTTGAAAAGACTCGGTAAGAACATTCGACCTGCAGGTGAAAAACGAATGAATAAATAAAGTAAATGGAGCTGTTTGAGAAAACGTAATGTGAAAAGAGCTTTACATATCGACACTATCTCATATATCTCCTTCACTGCCGGCCAGTACAGGACAATCAGGACAATCAGATCAGGGCATGCCCTCCTGGCCCAAATTAGGAGTTCAAACGCAGCCTTGACCACGAAATGATATTGGAGGAACTGAGTTTTTCTAGAAAAGCAATCACATAATTTAATATTAGACAGTACCTGCAAAGTATGTAATTGATTTGAATTGTGAACGCTCAAAACCCGCAGCGGTATACATCACTGCCATGTTTCTTCTTCGACATAATCTCCTCAAGCCATAAATAAGCGAACCTTAAAAACAAGACCATGAGACATTATAGACTGATACATACGATTATATAAATTTTCACAACAGTTGCAACAATGAGAAGTTAACAACTACTACACAACATTGCTAATGTGATTGAACTGAAATGACCAGATTTGCATCCCAAGGCCCATCTTTTGATTAATTAAATATATATTTTAATGTATCTTAATTAATCATTAATCTCGTGAGATTCAGAAATAATCACACCACAATATAAACCATAGTTGAACAGAATAACATAAAACAATGAATAAAGATAGCGCACACAAGAGATTGACGAGGTTCGGCAAAATCTTGCCTCCGTCCCCGGATAGAGTACTTCACTATGAGATAAGCTTGAGTTAAATCAACATAACCCATACCTGAAACCCTTGTACACCCACTCACAGTATTTCCCAAGAACTCTATCTCTACCCACAAAGATTTCTCTATGTTTTTCACCCTCTATGTGCTCCCTAACTTGCTCACGGAATACACACCCAAAACAAAACAAGCTACACTTCTATGTAACTTTCTCTCGATTCATGTTACACAACTAATAAACATGTGTAGCGGCACCAAGCTAACTCCGCTAGTTAGCTTCATAGGAGGGTCTCGATGCACCCTCGTCTCCACCAACAGGCTTTATCCCCTCACCATTGTCTCTACCCTGAAAACTTGTCACCGCTTCCCAAAACAAAACAAGCTACACTTCTATTTATATAGAAGCCTTAAGTGGGCACCAAGCTAGAGAGAAGAGTCGGCAACAAGCTTCCTTCAGCACGAAGACTTTATCTCCTCCTGACAACTTTTACCAAAGATATCATTCATGAAACTATACCACTTGCTGCACCGCCTATTAGCTACACCACAAGTCAAAGATTGCTGCACTGCACCATCTTTATCTTGTAGCTTATCCCACACTTCTAACTTGTAGGTCCAATTACCATAATGTTTTCACCAAATTTAACAGAGTGCAGCCATTAACTTCCCACTGCGGGGTTGTCCACAGATTACAACCAATGCCATTTTCTGAAAAACCTGGCTACTTTTGACTACACAATTTCAATGAGCAAGATATGCTCCACCGAAAATAATATCCCAATTGCTCGGGATTCAAAAACGATGCTCGGGCAGCTGCTAGAGTACATGCACAGAGTTATCCTTTAGCATGAAAGACATAGGGGTTGTTTGATAACCATTTCACTTTTCACTTTTTTTGAAAACTAAAAACTAAAAACATATTTAGTAACAAATTTCGTTTTCAGTTTTCAAAATCACCCTTATTTTTTAAAACAACTTGAAAGTGTTTTCAGTTTTCAGTTTTTTTTTTTTTTGAGCTCCTATTTCATTAATTAATTTTACATTAGGACACATGAAATGCACTCTAGTTATCAAAATTTGGTATTTGGGACCTCCCAACTTGGATCTAGTCGCTCGATTCTTGTGTTTGACCATGGATCTAGTCCAAGCCTCGGGAACTCAATCTCGAAAATTCACAAAATAAATCATCATAATTCCAAAAAATACTATGAACTCTTTGTAACATGCACTTTCATTCTATGATCTCAAATTCACAATTTGATCCTTCAATTTCCAAATTTCACATAAAACTGAAAACTAAAAATTGAAATTTGGCGAATTCCGATATCGTTCTGGCGCGACAAAAACGACATCGGTGGCTTTGTTATTAAAAGTAAATGAGAATGGAATAAAATTCTTTACCCGATTTCGCCAACCCACCCGACCCTAATATCTAAAATATTTTGAATAGGTCTAGGCGATTTTTGTTCAGCCGCTGCCGCTGCTGCTTCATTAACTTGGGCACCAAGACTCACGCGTGCGAGAGACGATAACGCTCTTCATTTCCATCACATGAGGAAAATTAATATTATAAATACCAATAAATGGCATCACTCTTCCTCACAAAATGGTACCCGCATTAAAACCCTAGAGACTGTCTCGCAAATATATCGATCATTTCATTTCGCCTTCTCTCTTGGTTTTTGGCGCCGACCCAAACCCAATCTCGGTGAGTTTTTCATCCTCTTTTTCTTCGCAACATGTTTTAATTGTTGTAATCCAGTTTTACCAAAAGATGAATCAGGATATAAACCTTTGACCACCGGATGTCCTACGCCTTATTCTTTCAGGTGTACCAGTTTGTAGGACAAACCCTAAATCTTTGACAAAACGATATTGTAAACTATTGGGATTGAACTCGGACGGACACAATGTAGGATGATAGGTTTTTGTTATAATGTTTATTTTGAATTGCTAGAGAGTTATCCATATTTTACTGGGTTTTCCTTTTCTTTTTCTTATTACCCTAATGATCGTAGAGATCTACAAAAAGGGGAAGTCGCAACTTAAAAACCAATTGTGATATCTATAATAGGATATCACGTCGGTTGTTTCCTTGTCGTGGTGGGAAAAGTCAAAAAGTTTTATTTAAGTTTTACTTTCAATAGTAGAAAAAAGCTAAGTGCGAAAAAATAAGCGAAGTTCTAGTTGTATTATTTATTTATAACTTGTAAGCCAATACATGCCTACTTTGGTGAATGAAATTAATGCAAAGTAGTTTCCTATGACGACTCCCTTTCTTTCTTCTATATATGCAGCTGATAGAACAAAGCTTCTCCCACAACTCACCAACTCAAACTCAAACTCAAACTCAAACCCACACCAAAGCTCAGGTTATCAGTGTCCTCTCTCTTCATGGCATTACCTTCCCCACAATCGACTTCTCAAGTTCCTGAAACTGAGAAAGATTTTGATCTGTTGAAGTGTTCGAAGATCGAAAACGGGAAGAAAGAGGCAGATGTCGATTTACCAACAGGCTATCGGTTTGATCCGTCCGAAGATGAGATTGTTGTGTACTATCTTTTCAACAAGATTTTGGACCGGGAACTTCCTATCACCGACGTTATAAAAGAGATTTCTGTGTATGATCATGATCCGGATGAGCTCCCCAATGGTAGGTTTCAAATATCTAAGGGCTTCAGATTTTTTTGAGTTTAGAAGATTCTGTCATAAGTTTTTGTTCTTTGTTCTTAAAACTACAGACATGTTCCTTTATTGTTCCGATCTAATTGATTATTGTCATGCCATTCACAGGCGATTTCAAACATGGTTGTGACTGCAACGAGGCCTTTTACTTCACATATACAGAACAGATTTACAGCAGTGAAGGGAAGATAACTAGAAGGACGACAAAGAGTGGTTACTGGGACCTAGATGGTGAGGAAGAAGAGGTTAAATACAGCAATGGCGACATAACCGTCGGGTTCGAAAAAGTTATGGTCTTCCACAGGGGAACTGCACCAAACGGAATCGAAACTGACTTTATCATGCATGAGTTCAGGCTTAATCCTCTTATAGTCCCTACTCATGTCCTCAATGATAGCATAAGGGCAAAGGTATAGAGACTATAAACTATGCAGAAAAGTTCTTTTAATGCTTTGGTTTTAGATTGTGAATTTTTTAAGTCGTTTGGTTTGTGACATTTTATTTTCTCTGTTTCAGATTGAGAGGTATGTGGTGTGCAGAATTATACACGAAGGAATTTCAAATTATCAGCCCACATTCAAACTTCCACCAGGATGGACAACTAGGCCTGTTGATGAAGGAGAACCAAATTGATATGGCAGAAATCTTTGTGCTTAGTATAGGGACCCAGTTTTGCCGTGGTCTTTGACATTGGAAGTTGCAGATAGAAGAAATAGCAAATCGACTTCCTCCTTTTGATGTTTTCCTCTTCAAGTTCTTTATTTATTTGGGAGATCTCTTCCAGTTCTTTTGTTTGGCCGACTACTGTTATACTTGCCCCATAATTTTCTTTTTTGTTAAAATGAATAAATTTTTATTGGCTAGTTTCTTCTAACTTTCCCAAGAGGGACTCAGAGAGTTCAGAATTGTAAATTCAGATTTTTCAACAAAGAGATCATTGAGATACTTATTTCTAACCTTCAACAAACTACTGTAACCGAAAATGAAAACAGTTTCATCACATTACACAAGCTTGAAAAGACTCGGTAAGAACATTCTCATTTAGATTATGACCTGCAGGTGAAAAACGAAGGAATAAATAAAAAAAGTAAATGGAGCCGTTTGAGAAAACTTAATGTGAAAAGAGCTTTACCTATAAACACTATCTTGTTCATCTGATTTTCTTGCTTTTTCCAATCGCGAGTTGGCACAATCTCATATATCTCCTTCACTGCCTGCCATATATCGATGAATAAATAACAGCATACAATATCTGTCAACTACCACATGAAAATAATTTACCGTGCAAGTAAAGGACAATCAGACCAGGGAATGCCCTCCTGGCCCAAATTAGGAGTTCAAAAGCAGCCTCAATGTCTCCCTGGTGATACATATAAATTTAAAACTCATGGT